CCACTCGCATTTCAAGGTAGATCTCGGAGAACCACAATACCTTCCAAGCTTCTCAAACCTCTGATACATCACTGTTCCTCTTTCTTCTCCTAGAGACTCCATTGTTGACTCTCTGCATCCGTAATCGTCCAAGTCAACACAGAGGCCAGAGTCATACCCCTTCTGTCCGACGCTAGAGTGGACCGCTACTGAGAATTGCTTTGGCTCGAAGCAAGTTAGCACCTTTGAGACAAGATGTGTCAAATCCATGGTTGTGAAATCGTATCCCACTGCTTCAAAGCTAGCGTAGCTGAATCCATCTTCTGGAGTCACATGGATAGTGGAGATTGCGTCGCCTTCGATGCTGTTCATTGAGTAGCCGCAGGGCTCGAACTCGAAGTCGCAGATTTGGGATTGAGGAAGTATCTTTCTGATGCCAGCGTTATCAGTCATAGAACCACCCGAGCTCGAGTCGTTCTTGTAGAACACAGATGCCTTGTCTTTGTCCAGACCAGTCATACACATCTCGAGAGTGTACACGTTCTTCTTCTTGTTGCTGCTGCAGTTGGCAGAAGAAGCAGAGTAAACATGCCATTTCTTGGTTTCATCGTCATTACCCATCAAGTATGCAACACTGCTCAAACCAAGCTTAGCAAAGTGACCATCAAGAACAGAAACTTCTTCAGAGAAGTTGCGGTGTGGGAATGGTTGGCCTCCAGGACAGAGGAAGCTTCCACGAGTGTACCTCACAGACTTGACATCCAGAGAGAGCTCACCGGCTAACCTCAAGAGCGGTTCGAGAGAGAGGAGGAGTTTCGTAGTCCCACAAGTCTTGATGATGATCTTGTAAGGGAAGATAAAGAGGCTGGACTCAGAGAGTACATAAGAGTCGAGCTGATCGTTTGAGAGAGATGAAACGATCGTGCACTCAGCTGGTTGAAGAATCTCATCAATCTGAGATTTGCTTAGTGCACGTAGTCCTTTTCCTTGAGTGTCGAGAAAGAGACCAGGCTCAAAGAAGGATACTTCGAGCCGCTTCTCGTATCCTTCGAAACCAATTGCAGAGACTGACATAGACATCTCGCTTTGTTGTTGTTGTTGTAAGAGCAAAAAAATCTTCTTGGAGGAGATTATGAATTGAAAAAAATTTGACGACTGTTCGAATTGACTAGTACTCAGGATGGCCTCTTAGCGCACTGCAACAAAACGAAAACAATAGAGAATTTTGTTTGTTATTATCAAGATTACAAATAAGAAGAAGAAAATGTTGAAAAGGAAGAGAAGCTAACGTTTGAGTAATCAGCAGATTTGAATTTCTTGATTCCACCGTTGGGACGAACGTCTTCAATGCTGTAACCGAGAGGAGCTTCGTAGAATAAGGAACTATTGCTTGACTTCTTATTACCAGCTTTCGATTCCATCATAATCTCATTCACGCTCTTCTGCAAATTCATCAAATGTCTCAGATAAATCACAAGAATCAAAAAGGATACAACACACAATGATCAAAATTGAAGAGATCATGATTCAACTAACAAAGATCTAGCTAGCTACCAGATTCCAACAAATCCAGATATAGATTTTCACTATATAGATTTACCCAATTGCGAAGACTCTAAGCCCTAATACTTGTGATAGCAATGGAAAAACATTAACTACATAATCGATGATTCGTTCATTGTTTAGAGACTTACATGTAAATGAATATATTGATCACGATCCGGAGGAGTTTTTTATAATCTCTTCAAGAAGAAACCCAGAATATGAAACGAAAGAAACCTGAAAACGAAGAAACAAATGCCAAAGTTAATCAATCGATCGAAAAATCTACGAAGAAGCTAATCAAAAAGATGAAACAGATCTCTAAAGCTAAAGAAGAAAACCAACCTGATTCAGAGGTGATTGAGAAACCCCTAAAAATTTGAGAGAGAGAGGCGATTATGATGATTTGGTAATGATGAAAAGAGAATCGAGAGTTTTGTGATTTTGTAGAAAATACAGAGAGAGCTGCTCATTATATGTTGTGCGGCTATTAGGGCTTTGTAAAATGACGTATTTACCCTCCCTTGTTAAGGGGCTTTTGACTAGAATGCACCCTTCTTCACCTTTTTCTTTCTGTGGAAAGATTGTTGGTGCGAGATTCGCGACGATTCTTGACCACACAACATAATTAGAGCAATAAATCTTTTTAGTAATTTCCTATTTTTTGTCAACAA